ATATATATAAACCCAAACAAACCCTGTGCTACACTTCGCGTGCCTCTGAAGTGTTAAAACATCCCGTTTTCCTCCTGTGTTCTAGTTTAAAGGACAAGTTCAAAGCCATTTTGAAGGCCACATACACCCACTCCAGAAACCTGGCGTGCTTTGTGTTCACGTACAAAGGACTGCAAGCTTTGCAGCAGAAACTTCAAGGAAAGAGTTTACAGTCTCACTCATTTCTGGCTGCCTGTGTTGGTGGATGGTTAGTGTTTGGCGATAACAACAACATTAACAGTCAGGTAGGACAAACTGCAGCCTGTGGGTGTCAAACTTCAAACTTGCCTGTTGCATCTGTCTGTGTTCCGATTATACAACTCTTTACTTTCTACTCTAGATCAACATGTACCTGCTGTCCAGGATCCTGTTCGCCCTGTCTCGGCTGGCTGTAGAGAAAGGATTCATCCCACAGCCTAAGCATGACCCTTTCCCACTCTTTGCCACGCTAGTTTGGGGTATCGTTTTGTGGTTGTTTGAGTATTACCCACATACACTCCAGCCATCACTGCAGTCCTCCATGAACTACCTCTATCATGACAGCAATGTGTGGCATGACATCTCAGACTTCCTAGTTTACAATAAGCCAAGGACTGCTGCCCAAAACTGAAGGTTTATTGTTTTATTTTTTGTAAAATAATCTTTTTTTTAATCACTATTCTAAATATGATTTGATTAAATTTTGCCTTTTTAAATGTTTGACACTGAAGTTTGTATTTGAATGTCCTAATTCTTTTCTGTTTGTCAGTATCAACCAAGTTTCTAGCTAAAGTGCTCAACCATCATATTTAAGTACCATTGCTGAAAGGCAATGGTTGCAGTACTTCCTATGATTTTGTGTTCATATTTTATCTGATTGTACAGATTGTTGGAGATTCTGATTTTCCAGAGCTATGTCACTAAATGTAGTTGCTGTATAATTGAAGAATTAATAAACAACTAAATTAAATTTCTGTTGTCTCTTGTAAACCTGTAGCTACACATTGACATATTTGTGTCACCTCAAGTTGTCAGCTGATTTATTTTAAAAAAATTAAAACATTCTTTAACATTCATTCAGTAACAAAGCAATGGCAGCTGTTATTTTTAACTTATATATGAACTGTTAATGTTCTTTCTGCAATGCATTCTGCAAGTTTGAATGATGAAGCATAATGACACGTATTTCTTTGCGTTTTTTTTTTTTATGAAATAATGATTTCTTCATACTGCTTACGCCTGAACTCCTCCCAGCAATGCATGCAGAAGAAAAACTGGATTTGCATGTTGCAGATTTTGTTAGGTTGTCTTAGTGACTCAAGGTGTGCCATTGTTATATAATATTTAATGTAGAGTGAAATCTTCAAAGGGTTAATCATCACTTTTTGATTGCATCATTTTGTTGAACAATAGCATATTGTTCAACAACGTTGCATAGGTTTTCTAGTTTTATTCACAAAATTGGTCCAACGTGGCCAGTTTCAAGAAAAAACAAGTTTAGTTGGTTGAATTAAGCAGGTGCATTCTCTACTGTATACTTGTTAAAAATGTTCTACAGTCTGTTATTTGAATTGAAATATTAATTACTTTAAAAATGCTATAAATGGTAATGTATACATTTACTAGAAGAATCCATCCATTTTTAACTGCTTGGACAATTCAGGGTCACAGCGGTGTTGGAGCCTAACCCAACTGTTACACAGAGAGAGACCTGCACCCAGGGCAGTCTATAACAGGCCTATCACACAGAGACAGTCATTCACATGCAGACTTTTGGGCATGTTGTACATGCATGCGCTGGGAGAACATGCAAACCCCACACAGAACACCCCCAGGTGGCCAGGTATTTCAGCTAGAACTGTCAGCTCACTGATGGTAATAGTACTTGTGCTTATGCATTCCTTATGAAATTACATCCTAGTGTCAAACTTACAGAATCACTTTTGATGCAAAATTCAAATGAGAAGTGACACTGACATGGATGATGACTTTCAGTGTTTCAATTTAATGTTACTTTATGTTCTCCATTGGTAAATAACACTAACGATATATAAAATAAAAAATTAAAAACACCTTTAATTTGGCCACGACAGTCCATGCTTTAGTTTATCAGAATTTTACTTACCCATTGGTGGTAATAATACTGTACATATTATCATAACACCATAAAAGGGCTGTTCTGAACGAATGTGCTTATTTCTATAATTTAGATAATACTATCTGTTAAAAGTAAATATAGGCTAAGTACACTTACACCGTACTTCATGAACAGTCCTTCTGTGTAGACAAAAAAAGATTATATATGTGCTGCGACTAAATCCACTGGTGTTACTTGTTAAATGTCAAATGTTAAAAAATAAAATATCAAACAACTTCAACTAAAAACACTGTTGATGTAAAATAATGCAACACAGTACTGTTCACTCTTACACTAACACTTTTCAACAAATGGCTTATGTTACGATTTGAGCAAGAAAAGTATAATCCAGGCAGATATGAAACATAGAAAGCAACAGTTAAAATTCATGAGAGCGAGTCAGTACTCATTCTCCAAAAATGCTTCCCACCCAAGATATTGTGCGTGCTTGTAATTATAAGTGGGTGAGCGCTCCTTCACTACAAAAACATTTGCGCAATGATGATGATGATGCTAGTTTCATTAAGAGGCAAACCAGAGTGAACAATGACGAGTTTCAAATAGCTAACCTCCCACGCTTCTATTCTGGGGCAAAACTCCATATCCTTGTGCAACAACTTATTTGAGGTGGATTAATCAAAGAATTACAAAACCTAAGGAATGTTCGTGTAAAGAGATCAAGTGACAGAGGGGGGGGGG